CTAGAAAATGTTTCAAACCAAAGTTCTGGGTTTCGAGGGATCAAAGTGACGCTGACCTTGACAATGACCTTGACTACGACCTTTGAGGTACTTTCAAGGTGAAGTGAGTAGTTTCAAGTAGCAGCCTCACATCGGAATTGACAAGAAAAAGGAGCAAATTTTATATCTGAATAATAGCTTGGCAATGACCTTGACCACTGCCACCAAGGCTGAAGAAAACATGATCGATAGCACTCACAGTTGTGAGGTTTGTGGGAGACACCCAAAGGTGACCTTGTCCAAGACTTTGACCAGACAAACTTTCAAAAGGACACCCGTCATTTTTATACTGTGACATTGACTTTCAGTTCAAGGTCGCATTCGGCCATGAAATTTTTCTGCTTTTTCTATTTCCAATATTAGTTAAGAGATTTCCATTGGAAATTTTGACGTAACCTTGAAGGCCATTGTCGTGGTCAAGGCCAATGTCAAGTTCAAGGCCATGATCAGCTGCATCGGCGATGTCCTGGCCAAGGTCATGGGCTAAGGTTACCGAAATATCTAGGTGGAAATCGGAATGGGACACGCTGTATAATAATGAAGAGTTCAAGAGCCTTGAAACGTGTGAAAGAAGCAATCCATACACAACCTTCTCCACGAGCCACAAAGTGATGTGAGTAATGTTCTGTTAGCGAAGTGGGGCGGTTCCATCACTTTTTTAGAAGCATTTCCAAACAACATGTTAAATAAATCATGATGCTTTCATCACTCCTACCATCAAGACATCCAACCATGGACAGCTGTTTCGTGCTTCTTGGCTACTCATCAGCATGTTCTAGGTACGGTCTATCGAAGTAAGAAGGCTTAAAGCGCAATTTATCACACCAGAATTGAGCTATGCGCTTTCCACAGCGTATACATGGCGCTTTACGCTGTCTTCTATATTAAATGTGCAGCATACGTAAGTCAAATTTTAATTAACGTCGTTCAGCCATTAGGTCAGTAGGAAGCAACAAGAAGTAATTATGAACCAGCATATCGCAATCTATGTTTTTCGCGACACATATCGGATTTCCATTATCCATGTAGAGATGCATTTGCCATAATCGTCAGATCCATCACAAGTCGAATAATTTGCGAAGCACAGAGACAGAAAATGATATATCTGACGCTGCGTCGACATCGAAGCTGAAGCAGCAAACGTTGCTGATGGCCCGGTTGTCATCAATCTTCATCGCCGGTGGTGCCACGATAATCCTCCAACCGGATGCGACAGAATCGTATATAATTAGTCCGGGTGAACTGGAGTTCCTACTTTATGTTTCAGCTTTCTCGCCAACTTGTCTGAAACCATTGTTTGAAGAAAGAAATTGAATATTTATCGTAACATTGATTTCTATCTTCAGTGCGTATTTTTTGTTTGTTTTATACATTGTTCGCAAATAATATTCAATAAGCCCTATTTCACGAGTATCCATTACGCTTTGACGTCTACTAAGGTAACCAACTGATCATCTTTGTATTAGTCTGTAACGTTGGCAAAGTTAATCAGGTGCAAATCTTAGGACCGTATTCAGAGCTGTTGTTCACATATCTAGATACTTTTAGCGCCTAGGAATTTTGAATATAAGAATTACACATAGAAGAATGTTTGTTAGAAGATTATTATAGTACATCTGGGGTTTCGTTATAAAAAGTAGATATGTTTAAAATTAAGTCAAGAACCGTTTATTTCATTTCATTTATATTTGGCTTGAAATGTAGCCAATCTTTAGCAGGAGTGTTATGTAAAAAACCTAATAAACGTCAAAAAACCGACAAAATATCGTCTTGCAGACTAGGCTGTTTTTAGTGTGCGAATAGTTTGTTCCACGTTTAGACAATACGTACAGCTATAATACGAGCTCACTAGTGTACAATAGCTTGTGCTAACATCTTGTAGAAAAACCTATGAAATGTCAAACATCCTACAAAATGTCACTTTTCAAGATATACCCGTGCCGTAGAGTACAAAAAAACAACAAAATACGGCTCTGTCTGCCAGGCATCGACGGATCCGTCAGAATTGCCTGCCACTTGCCGATATGGGGAATTTTGATATGCTACCAGATAATCTGCGGTTATTTTCCGTATCCAGCAGTATACATCACAGTATAACGTTTTGAAATTTGTCACTTTCCTACTTCCAAATGAATTGACGTTATCCTTTCGTTATTAGTAATAATGCAGTAATCAGCGATACAGTTTTGCTACCCCCTTTTTCAGAACCGCCACCTTAGCATACAAATTTTTATCTCCGAATACTTGTGGATATGACATAATTGTCAAGTTTTCCATTCATGAAGTGCTTCCTATTGGTCAATATTTTTATTCGTAACCTGTGTTCGGTGGTTGAGGAGTGTAGAGGGTGAGACAAGATATATAATGTTTTTTTTATATTAGTATACAGGGTGACTTTGAAGTTGAGTCATTAATTTTCAGATAATGATTGTAGAAGGAAGATAAACCAGAATATGTGTGTAAAAATAAAAAAAAATAAAAAAAAAATGTTTACCTTGTTTTATAAAGTATCCTCCCGACAAGTATTTCAGTGCGGACCTGTATTTGATCGTGAGGTCCCCTGTGAGGTCTTAAGTCACCTGATTCACGAGCCCGTTGTACTACATTAACAAAGGCACGAGGGGTTGGTTGCACTCGATTGGGAAACCGATCCGCATAAACATGTGCCATTTTTTATTTCGTTTGAGCCACGCAACAGACACTATTCACACGCTAACCGACAGACACTAACTGGATGTATAACTGAACTGAATAAAATACTTAATTACAAAAACATCGTTCCAAATTCTTTCGCTTTTTTGTTTCCGATGCGATGAACCGGTAAGGCGGATTATATCCGTTGTTGCCAAACACGAGTACATGATATTATTATTGAGACAGGGCGGTACTCAAACTTCCAAAGGGCTATAACTTTGTTACTTTAATTTTACCAGAAAAATGGTAAAGGAAAAAAACATTTCTTTTGATCAGATCTACTCACTGTTAAAATAAATGACTGAACTTCGAAGTCACCCTGTATATATATATATATACGCCCCCAACCACGATAATTTTATGCACCGATTAGTCATATTTCACACAAAACAGATATCCTCATACATTTGCCTTTAAAACAATGATAACGGAAATGCTTTAGATGCACGTGCTCCTGCTATCTAAGCTTACCGCCGGACGTATCGATCCGGCTGACTAGTATATCCGTACTGCAGCGCACAAAACATAATTATACTCGTACACTGAAGAAGGTTTAGTCAGGTGCTATCCATAGGGCAACACCGTCGATTTATGTTAGTGTGAATCGCCATTTTTTAACACAGGGTAACAAGGTTGCCAGATTGTGCACGAACGCCGAATGCGACGTTGACGGCTCTTTGCATAAATCTGAAACTCTTCGTATAATTGTATATATTGGGCATTTATTAATGATATATGGAAGATTTCATAACAACATGTATTATTAACATATTTTTGACAAATAAGTAGTCACTTATCTGTTAAAGCAGCAGCACGAGTAAGACAGGCCATTGTAAAATCATCCATACCTCCTGGCAATTTGAAATTTTGAGAACCGTAAAAGAATCTATACCTGAAAATATATTTAATCTAAAGTTTATATTGTATGAACACATCAATAATATTTAAGGTCCATTTCTGGTGATGGTCTTCTGCAGCACCTGCTTGGAAAAATTGTTAGAACTAGCGATGAAAACATATTATTTTATATATCAGAATGCAAAGGTTTTACGGAAAATATGATTATATATAGTATAATTTAGGAATTATTGTATAAATATATCATACTTTTTAAGCTATACCTATATATTTACTAAGGTAACAAAACCATTTATGTTGAAGTTCATATTCAAACTTGAAACCTATGGAAATTGTCGCGAGTTTCTCATATCAACTACAGAATACCAAGATTAACAGAGAAGCGCGTTAAATCACTCGATTTGACATAAACTTGCATTAGCCGTAATTGTGAAATACATTAGCCATTGTCCTGAAGCACTCAATTGCCGAGATATATGCTCTGAAGAGAAACGAGTAACAGGTAAGACTATATTCTATCTATCTCTGATCACCATGGGTTGGCAGTGGAATGCAGCGTCTTCAACTCTTGGTTCTTCAATGTTTCATAGCATTCCACATTGGTGACTGTTAAATCAAGCAGAAATCCTCAATAGTCGTAATGTTCTAACAGACACATCCGGCCCTTCCAATTTAGAATCTCTTTATCACTAAAGCTTTTTTTCAAGCGACCAGGATGATCAATTTGTCGAACACAATCACCTAGAAGAAAACGAGTTGTTCTCTTATACAATTTCACCAACAGGTGTTATACTCCAGATTCCAAAGTTCATCAACTCAAAAAAAAAATGTACTTTAAATAACAAATTTGTAGTTACGAAAAACCTACCTTCCAAACATCCAGCCATGCAGGCACAAATAAAAGACAGGTTAACTAAAAATGACAGCAATAAGCCGTCATACTTGTCAAAGTCGTTCTTTTTTCTGGATGCCAACAGTGCCAGGTTGTCAGCGCCCGAAACATATACGAGCCCCTTCCCACTTCAGTTGGTCCACTTCAAGATTTGTACCAAAATATGCCTTTATAAACTAAACATGACCAAAAACAATTTACTTATAATACAATTTATTTCCTCAAACACATTTTAGATACCCTCTAGTCGTAAAAAATAGATATTTGAAATCACTTAGACCTATAACTAATAGAACATCTGAACAAGTAAACAATGTGCGAAGAAATGCGCCAAGTTAACAAAGCAGCAATTGAAAGATTACCATTGGGTAACATCACATTTATTTTTTATTAATGAAATTCTTTGGGGCGTAGTGTTAACCAAGTTTTGGCAAAAATTTGGGGTAAAACAATCCCATATTTCTTGAAGCTTTTGTCTCAGTTCGGTGATTGTACGAGTAGGATGCTGTCGTAGGACCTTTTTCATCTCGTGCCACAAAGTTTCAATAGGTGACAGATCTGGCCTGCTAGAAACCCATCTCAAAAATGGTACATTATTTTCTTCCATCCATTTTATAGCCTTTTCTGAGGTATGGCATGCTGCACCGGCTTGCTGAAACACAAAATCTTGGCCGGATGTCAAACATTCTTCGATCACTGGTAAAGCGATTCTGCTAAAACTGCCAAATATTTGTTTGAATCCACATTTCCATCAATAAAATGAAGTTTTCCTACTCCTTTTGATGACATACTGCTCCAGACCATAATGGATGCTGGAAATTTCACTTTTCTCTTCAGACAGTCAACATGGAATGCTTCATTTTTTTTTGCGAATAACTCTACTGCGACTGTTACCAACACAAACTTCGAATCGGGCCTCATCACTCCATTGTATTGCACACCATTGATGAGGTGTCCATTGTCTATGTTCTTTAGCCCATCTAAGCCGATTTTTCTTTTGCAGTGGAGTTAATAGTGGCTTTTCTTTGGCCTATAAACAAGTTGTGCGACTTTAGGGTTTTTACTTTACTTTTTTTATAAGAAAACTTGCAAGTGCTAAATCCCAGTTTGTGCGCCTCTCTATGAGTTGTTGACCTCGAAATTCTCGTTCCAACAGCGTCACTCCACAGAGCACTTAATTGTAAATAATTGGCACGCCTGTTTTTCACGATTATTCTTCTTAACGCTCTTCTTTCGGCATTTGTGATATTACTTGTTTTCACATATCGTCGCTTAATATTAACTGAACCAGTTACGTTATATCTTCTAACAACATTTCTCACACCGTACCGTGATAGGTCTAAAAAAGTTGCAATTTCTTAGTTTGATTTCCCAGAATTAAAAAATTTAAGTATCAGTAACAGAATTTTCTCACTAATAACCTTTCCTCTTTATTTGTATGCTGCAAATTTGATTAGGGAGTGATAAAGTTGGTGTTTTCTGCTATATATTACCAAAATATTCATTATTAATATTTTAAACCTATAACACCCTGCTACATTTTTATTATTTGTGTTTGATAAGAAAAAACTAAGATTTCAATAGTTAGGCCAACTGAAGTGGGAAGGGGCTCGTACCACATAGACGGTCTGAACTATAACTCGCTGCAGCAGTGCTGCGGTGGGCGCTGCTGCGCAGATGTGGAAAAGAACAACGTTGCCAGGTGGATGGTAACTGGCGGAAGAGCGGGAAAAGAATGTCTATCGACTAATTTCATTGCCCTGTTTGACTGACTTGATCAATTTAATTTGTTTTTTGTACATGTTTGTAACTGACTTTTTTACATTGTGGTCAACTCAATCCTTTATGAAATGATGACGGTGTTGCGTATTAAGTGCAGAGTCAATCTACTTGAGGCCACCATTGTGAAATATGGTTTAGAAATAAGTCTTCAACGTTGTTAGTCGTTTCTCAATGATATCGTCCCAACAAAGAAAATAAATATTTTCCAAAGCTGGATATGAAAAGGAACATAAATCCTCTTTGGCTTGATTTTATCTCGTCGGCGTTGCAACATCAAGGTCCTTGTATTTTTTGACATAATGCACATCTTTTATATCTCACTAACAAGGTCTCACAAGCTGTATTTTTGCCCGTTTACCCTCATGGCTGAAGCAAAATATAAAGCTGATGCAGAGGTGCCCAATTTCACCGGATCAAATATAATGGGCAGCGAGCAGGGCCAGTTACGTAAGCCCATTGTGTTTCTAAAACCAACAGCTTCATATTGTTACAGCTGTCACAGGGACGTTTATAAACGACCGCGGGCGACTCCCGGGTTACACTCTGCCTCCTCCGCGTGTCGACTCGTCCGTGGGGTTGTCTTTATTTATGGCGATTCTTTGCCTAGACACATTTCGGAAGAGAAGTGCTCGTATTTTTCCGGCTCGGGGATCGGTGAAATGGTAATACTTCCAGTGTGAACCGATGTCATTTTTTATCGAGGTTTTTCCTTTCGACCGAATGGAAATCAATTCGCGACTTGTCAGTCTTTGATGTTGCTGTCTGCTGTAGCTCGAAATCTGCATAATTAGTTTGATATATCATAGTAATAACAATCGTCTTTATTGACCAAAACATGGTACGTTACATGGGGCGAGATTAAACACCTGCTATTCCACCATGTAAACTCGTCCAAAAGTAACTTGAAAAAAACGAGTTACACAAAAACAAAAAAAAGCGAAACCAGATGGATTAAGGCGCAACACAATAGAATGAGCAACGTCGATTTAGCTATAAAATGAAGAAGAGAATAGGTTATGAAGAAACGGAAGCAAATTCATTGAAAGTGCAAAGTTTGAAAACGAAAGGACTTCTCAAGCTAGCGGTTGTTCCGTAATTCTTGCAAACATCTTTTAAGCTGTCCTTCAAAACTCCAGAACAACCGAATAGTCTTCAGATCCTGTCCTAAGCTGTTGCAATATAAAATTGTATTTCAAGTAAAATATCATCTGAAGAGTCTTCGGCATCGGCATGGTTAAGGTGCAACGTTTACGAACCTGGAGACTATGCAGGGATGCCCTTGAAACAGTGGCGGCTCGTGATAAAATAAAACAGGTGTTCTGCAAATCCGAATTTACCTATTTTTTATATGTCAGTTCGATCCTGCGCTCCTTCTTGGCAGCAAATTTGTCGATAACCTTCCCGTTGAAATGTTCCATGTTCGAAATGAGTTCCTTTTCAATGGACAGCATCGACAACACTAAAAGGCGATCCTGGGTCATAGTATTTCGAAGAAAGCTCTTGATTCTTTTCAATGTTGAGAAATTTCGCTCAGCCTCTGATGTTGACATAGGAGTTGTATCATAATTTATAATAGCTTTTTGTTTCTTTTAGTGTTTCATCCAAACTATTTTGTATCAAAAATTTCAAAAGAGACAGAGTTCCATGTAAATCTCGGCAATTATTCCGTGCATAAATAACAGACAACTCTGTCTCTAAACGACTTTTTTCTAATTCGGGATCAGCCAAGCAGGTAGTTTCCAATTTCTCATCAGGAAACTTACCACAGTATTCTCCAAAGTGTTCGGGGAATGCGGCTACCAAATGATCTTTGTTTGAATTGAAATCTGTCATTTGCAGAATTCACTATATTGTCGCATACTTCTAATGCTGCAACTCGGTGATCGTGACTGCTATAATTACGTCGTCTCCTTTTGTTGCTTTGGGGTTCAGTGCAAATACTTTTGGCTTCATTTATTATGTCATTAATTTTATTTCTCACATCGACAATACATTTTTCAAAATGATCGATTGCCGTTTTAACCTGCGCTGGCTCGATTTTTCTCTTCTGCAACTTGTTGAACAAGATGTCGACGTGAGGCATGACATGATGGAAAAATGTCAACTAGAACACGAAAACAGAATCGTTTAACATACGGCGGATACCGCAAGCTGCCTTGCAAACGGTTTCATTAATGAAATATTCTTCTATTTCTTCCAGGCATTCAATGAGTGATTCTCTGTTCTCAAACACTACATTTATTGTTCGAATATTAAAATTCCAACGAGTTGTTGCCCCTTGGAGAATTTTTTTCCCCACAATTCTGTTCAGTACCTCTACGCGTTGAGGAGAATTATTAAAAAATCTCGCAATATCTTTCAAATCGCCAAAGAACACCCGAACTTGAGCATTCGCGGAAGCAACTTGGGACATAATCAGGTTTAACTGATGCGCATACCAATGCACATAGTAAGCAAATGGATATCCTTGTTTATTTTTTGCCTGTACTCCAGCATTATGTCCGCTCATTACCGCGGCTCCATCATAGCTTTGTGAAATCAGTTTGTTAGGGAAATTTCCTATTAATAGATGTACGATGCTCAAAATATCTTTTGAGGGTATCAGCGTCACATTTTTCTGGATTCATATAATTCCAAAAACGTTCTACTGGTTCGCCGTTAAATACGTATCTGAAAATTGTTACTAGTTGGGTTTTCCCCAAAATGTCCGTTGCTTCGTCTGATATTATCACCAATAGATCTGTACGGATCTGTATGAATTGCCGCACATGCTTATGCTTAAATCGCGCATTTGATTTTGTAGAGAGAGAGAAAAGCAAGCGAGTGCGGCTTGTGTCGAAGTAGTGCACAGACCCTTTTCAAGTGGCCCATGAATAATGTTACGCTGCGGTCGCGACGAAAATGACAAGTACACAATTGGTCGATTATAATGCTTTCTCAGTATAAAACAGACTCGACGCCGTGTTTTGCGGGGACAGCGTTGCCGGTATTTTTTCTATTTGTGTGATAACACGGAAAATAAATAATGATCAAATTACTACTGCTTTTTTCTGCTAAGACAAAAGTTTTGGCAGTTCTGCAGCTCTGCAGAACTTAAGGGCTATCCGCGCTTGCCTTGGAACGAGTTTATAACTGAGGTGTTGAGGAGACGATGTTAGCACGATCCTCTTAGAAAACCTTAGAATGGAGTATTTGTAAAGATTTTAAACGCTTAGCCATGCGAGATTGCGTAACAAATGAGATACATGACCGAACATTATTAGGGCCCTATAAACCCTACACACGTATTCTGCATTAGCTGCAAACGTTTTGCGTTGATAGATGTCAGACAAGGATACAATTTTTCAAGACGTTATTCAGACGGGAGTTAAAACGTAAGTCCGAGTCAAAGTAAATGCCGAAATAATTTACATTTCCAGAAAACATAATTCCCTTCCCTTTAGATTTGGATTGAATTAATGGTTTAAGATGCCACATAATCTTTTATTGCCAAATGATGTGGTAGAACATTTCAAGGGATTTAGTTCTTAAGTTGTGAGAGCTACAGTATGTATTAGCATTATCGAAATCTGCATTTGCTAGCGTTATGGATTCCTGGACATTGTACTATATGTCCTTGATCCAATGCATTGCTATTCGTCGTTTTTTGTCACAGAGATTCGGTGCATTCAGTTAATAGTCTGGTCTGTGTGTTAGTCAGTCAGGTCTAGTTACCCAGGCACCAGATTCAAGGGAAGAGGGAAAGAAGGGAAGAACGAAAGGAAGTAATAGAGAAAATAAAAGCACCAAATCAGTGGTCAGTGGACAAAGCTCAAGCATTATTTATTTGACTACTCAAATGATTTTATAATT